TAGGCATGGGGGTCACCTAGCCTATTTTGGAACTTTTTTTTTTTCTAATTCTGCTTCTATTCTCGATGGAAATGTCTGTTCCTTTCCCAGTTTCCGTACTATTTCAGAGATTTTAGATTAGATTTTGCCACCGAAGTGGCTAGTTTATTGTGCACCCCATATCCATCCTGTGGACGGTAGCGCGAGAGCATATGGATACACAAAAGGCCTAGAAACTAGGCCCCAAAGGGTTAACAGGAATACATATGGATTTATATCTACATATCTATAGTTCACTTATCTGTTACAAGCAAATTTAGGAAATTTGCTTAGTATATCTGGTATCTTATTTTCATTAATAAGATATCTTGACATGTCACATAGGTTATTATACTGTCTGTCTCTGTATTCCTCAATAAGTGGACAATTAAGCACATAGTGTTCAAGAGAGTGACCATATGCCTGATCATATAATTTACATTTAGTTTGATCATCATCTGTGTGTCTCCCAAACTGTCAGAAGTACTTGTAACCAAGCCTAAGCCTGGCCACTACAACATCAGTCAGTACTTGTAACCAAGCCTAAGCCTGGCCACTACAACATCAGTCAGTACTTGTAACCAAGCCTAAACCTGGCCACTACAACATCAGTCAGTACTTGTAACCAAGCCTAAGCCTGGCCACTACAACATCAGTCAGTACTTGTAACCAAGCCTAAGCCTGGCCACTACAACATCAGTCAGTACTTGTAACCAAGCCTAAGCCTGGCCACTACAACATCAGTCAGTACTTGTAACCAAGCCTAAGCCTGGCCACTACAACATCAGTCAGTACTTGTAACCAAGCCTAAGCCTGGCCACTACAACATCAGTCAGTACTTGTAACCAAGCCTAAGCCTGGCCACTACAACATCAGTCAGTACTTGTAACAAAGCCTAAGCCTGGCCACTACAACATCAGTCAGTACTTGTAACCAAGCCTAAGCCTGGCCACTACAACATCAGTCAGTACTTGTAACCAAGCCTAAGCCTGGCCACTACAACATCAGTCAGTACTTGTAACCAAGCCTAAGCCTGGCCACTACAACATCAGTCAGTACTTGTAACCAAGCCTAAGTCTGGCCACTACAACACAGTCAGTACTTTGTACCAAGCCTAAGCCGGCCACTACAACATCATCAGATAACTTGTAACCAAGCTAAGCCTGGCCACACAACATCAGTCAGTACTTGTAACAAAGCTAAGCCTGGCCACACAAACATCATCAGTACTTGTAACCAAGCTAAGCCTGGGCCACTCAACATCAGTCAGTGTTCACATGCAAGTTTGCTCCATAAACATACTTATCCTACGATCTTGTTATCATAGTGGTTATAGAACTACTCAGAAGGCTTCTAACTGCATTCTATAACATCATTTTTTCATTATTTACTTCTCTCCTAATATTATTCCTAATGCTAAGACACGGTTATACCAAAGTTATATTCTACATTCACCTTCTCGATACCTTTCTTGCTAACATATCAACTTATCATAAGGATTAATCCAATGTGTGATGGGATCGACATAGCAATTGTACATTAATTCCTTTGTCCCCTAATTTTTGAGTATCTATACCTGGCTTCCCCAATGAGCATGTTGTTGGAGTCATTATATGAGCCAAGAGCCTTCAATGATGACATAGAATCTGTAATGATGATAGATCAAGCTCAGTGTCATAGTTTTACTCACGCCAATTAGTGTAATAAATGTGAAGGTCGAATAGGGTATGAGCTGAGTGGCCCTCAACACCGAACAACAACATTGACGTCGCTTGTGTCCAACACAACTTTGTTGCCGACGGCTGAACGTAGAACAAAAAATGAATTAACCGGAGTAAAACAGAAGCAGGCTGTAAACTATGAAAATTTAAAAATGTGGATACCCTTGTAGGTTTAGCACTTGATTATAATAATTATGTAGATGTGGATGTAAGTTTATTTAGGCACAGGTAAGTACAATTATACATAGTGGACCCCTCAAGGAAGGTTCCTTGATGTTGGTGAGGGGCTCTTGATTTAAGGAATTGGATCTGTGCTCCTCGCAGTTCCCCAATTAAGCCTGAATGTCTTCCACATCCCCCCCCAGGTGCTGTATAATCCTCCGGGTTTAGCGCTTCCCCCTTACCTGGAGTTTACCTGGAGAGAGTTTCGGGGGTCAACGCCCCCGCGGCCCGGTCTGTGACCAGGCCTCCTGGTGGATCAGCGCCTGATCAACCAGGCTGTTGCTGCTGGCTGCACGCAAACCAACGGTACGAGCCACAGCCCGTCTGATCACGGAACTTGTCTTAGGTGCTTTCCAGTGCCAGCATTAAAAACTGCCAGGGGTCTGTTGGTACCCCTTATGTTTGGTCTGGGAGGCAGTTGAACAGTCTCGGGGGCCCCTGACACTTATTGTATGGTCTCTAACGTGCTAGTGCCACCTCCGTGCTTTCATTGGGGTTATGTGCATCGTCTGCCAGTCTTTGCTTTCGTAGTCGAGTGATTTCGTGTGCAAGTTTGTACTAGTCCCTCTACGTATTTTCCAGTGTATATAATCATGTATCTCTCCCTCCTGCGTTCCAGGAATACAGGTTTAAAACCTCAGCGCTCCCAGTAATTGAGGTGTTTTATCTCCTATTTAATGCGCGCCGATGAAAGTTCTCTGTACATTTTCAAGGTCGGCAATTCACCTGCCTTGAAAGGTGCTGTTAGAGTGCAGCACTATTCCAGCCATATAGAACAAGTGACCTGAAGAGTGTCCATCATGGGCTTGGCCTCCCTATTTTTGAAAGGTTATCATTAATCCATCCTTGTCCATTTTTCTAGCAGATCGATTGATACAATGTTTATGGTCCTTGAAGGTTGAGATCCTCCGACATAATCACATGCCTGAGGCCCTGCCCCTCAGGAAGGTTCCTTGATGTGGGTGAGGGCTCTGAATTAGGGAATTGATCTGTGCTCCAGTTCCCCGAATTATCCTGAATGCCTTCCACATCCCCCCCCCAGGTTGCTGTTAAATCCTCCGGTTAGCGCTTCCCCTTGACTAAATAATAATAATATACATAGTGGACTATTGCCAGTCAGAATTTTAGTAAGTATTGTCTAATATGGAGATTCGATTATTTTGGAGATCACGTATTTTTTTTTTGTAAAAACATTCCTGATAAGAGATTTCCGTTCGGATTTTTAACCCGGAGGTTACCACCCAGGATAACCCAAGAAAGACAGTGCCATCATTCGATACTGTCTAACTTATTTCCATGGTCCTTAATCTTTGTCCCCCCCAGAAGCGACCCACACCAGTCGACTAACACCCAGGTCCTATTTGCTGCTAGGTGAACAGACAACAGGTGTAAGGCAACATGTCGAAATGTTTCCACCCCGCACGGAATCGAACCCGGGCCCTCCGTGTGTGAAGCGGGAGCTTTAGGCCACGCAGCCACCGGGCTTTACCTTTGCACAAAATTGGTATTTCCTGTGAAAATTATCCTCCCATTGGGAGGTTCCTTGAAACTTGTGAGGTGCTCTTGATCCATGGAATTTAGAGCTCATCTCCCTCATTTGGATGGAACCTATTAGCTCATATTACTCACCGGCACTGTATGTGATAACATTTTGTTTGGATTTTTAACACCCCAAGGTTAGCTACCCAGGATAACGCCAAGGAAGTTTGGCATCATCGAGACTGTGGTGTCATGATTTCCATTGAAGTCCTTCAATCTTGTCCCCCCAGCATGCAGCCACACCAGTCGACACCACCCAGGTACCTACTTAATGCTGAGGCTGACAGGGACAGTAAGGTAATAAGGAAACAATGCCCGGTTATTTCTACCCGGATGGAACAAACCATGAACACTCGGTGTTTGATGCAGGAGTGGCTGCCTACCAGGCCCATGGACAACCTGTGGCCACAGGAACCCAACTAATTTGGTCATTTCTTTTCTGCCTACATGTGTGATGTGTGCAAATTGTTATCCTGGGAGATATTAATAATAACAATTAATTTATTTTGGGACGTTCAGCATGTCAGTGTCAGTTAACAGTTAGTATTGATACTCTCGGTTCAATCACCGTGAGTGTAAAAAGAGGCATGCCAGTCACATTTCTACTACTGGATGAATAAGGTTTAAGTTTCAATAGGTTATTTTAAGCTGAGTTAGGTTGGGTTTTATTAAGTTACATTCCTTAGATTTGTACAGTGCAAAATGTCCATGACAAAACCAACTTAACATTGGACATTTTTTGGCCAAATTTATGGTCAAACTTAGTTAAGGATTGGATTTCTATAATTACATTAATATTTGCTGGATATGTATAAATAACAAACAGTACATAAGTGCTTAAATAAAGTATAAAGAGAGAGGAGCAAAATGCATGTTTTGATGGATTATCTCATGTTAAATCATCATTTATCGCCAATATACACACCTATTTGCAGTTGCAGGAGTCGATTCTTGGCTCCTTGCCATGCCTCTGCTGGCCACAACAGGCAATTAAATGCACAGAAGTCCTGTACTATATACTGTACTTAATATAGTACTGTACTGTACACATAATTTTACAGATATACTTTAATAAACATTAAAAATAAAGGATTTAAAAGTACAATTAACGTAGGGGATATTTGCCCATAATTTTCAGTCTGTTATATTGGGGCTTGTTATATTGGAGGGTTTACTGTAACTATTGGCAGGTTTTCGTTATCCTATAACTAGTGCTGACTGCATCCAAATAGTAATTCATAATTTTTGTCCATTAAAATCAACTGAATTAACGATATAAATTTTTTTATCATATTTTTATGTCCTTATTGCTGTACCTGTCATACATGTCTGATAAAATGTTTAAGGGCATTCCCTCTAATAAGTTACCCACACAAACAAAGCAAAAACCCGAACTTAAGAAATTATTGGCTACTATTGAGATTAGATACAACTTAGTCATTATTTTTTAAATACTGTACAAGCAACCTATCTATATTTTTTTGTTTTATTCTGTTACAGTGAAGTGAAGTGCATAATTCAGGATATATGTCTAGCCATGGAAACTAATGTGTCACTAGGTGTGTACTCCTGGTACAAGCAGGTGGCAGAAAAAGGTAATAATAAATTGCATTTTGCATAATGATGAAACCGTTATGCAAGTGCAAAAAATCCTCACTATTAAAATTGCTGAAACGATAGATTGGCTTCTTGGGCATGTGTAGACACAATGGAGATAATATACTACTATAATTAAAAAAAATTTCCATTTCAAGCTTCAAAGACTTAACATTTTGGATTAGAGTTAATTCCCTGGCTTCTTGCACCTACTGTTATCAACATTTAAATTGCTCCGCTTCTTTCATCTACATTAAAGATTATTATTACTTTATTTAAAAATTGGTACATATGTGTTATGCCAGTTATATATTTAACTACTAATGCTGCATAAAATTTAATATCTTATTTTTAAAACTTGTTCCAACCTGTGAAAAACTTACTTAATAAGGTTACTGATGCAGATCACTTGTTAGCAGGAAGATTTATCTGCTTTGTTATTAATGTATATAGTGCTTTTTAATTTTTGTAGCCATAGTATTTACAAACAGAGCTGTTATTCTGCCTCATCTCATTTTAAAGCTGGATTTAAGCCATACTGTACTGTACTATATTATTTGTTGCATACAATAACAAGAAGTTGATGACTAAGTCATATATGCAGCAGATGGGTATCTTTATTGCCAGATAAAAATTCCCATAAGTTGCACATAAGACTTACACATGTGCTATCACCACCCAGAATGTCACCCCACTAACAAATAATTAATACATCAGTACGTTTTTGCTTCTAGGAAACAGGGCAACGTGTTAAAGGAATTATGTCCATTTTTTTCGACCACACCCAGGATCAACTTGGATCCGTATGTTTGGTAAAGACTGACGTGTTACTACTGAGCTACTGAACCACTTGTAACTTGTACAGTTAAAGTTAATTGGAACACCATATTATCTTTATTAAAATAAGGAAAATTTAATAAGTATTTTTCATTTCAAGTTAGGAATGGAAGAAAGCTCAGTGGTAGCTGTTATCTGTAGTTATATTAAAAGGCAGATGGATTTGTTTGTTAGGAGAATAAAAACAGTTCTCCCTGCTGTAGGTCTTAGCTATATGATAATCTTGTTTTTTGATCAAGCCGTTTCACAGGTTTACAGTTTTACTCATTGAATAATTGCATACCACACGTGAGATGAATATATTTCAATTTACAGACCTTGGTGAAACACGAAAAGATTGCTGCAGTAATCTCCGAAAACAAGCTAGGAACAAACAGCAGAAAAATGATAACAGGAAGAGCATACAGGATGATGTGCAGAGAGCGACAAACAAAAGAGGAACTAGGAAAACAGGAAACGATAATGATTTGCACTAGCTGGAGTATACAAACAAAATACACTGCAAGTCACCAACATTACAGGAAGAGTAAAGCAGAGTACCCCACAAAATAGTCCAAAAGAGGAAGAATGCCTCACAAAATAACCCAAAATGACTTGGAAGTGGAAAAGGAGGAAATTTATGAGGAAAAATAAAGAAGCCCAGGTATTCATCTACTCACAACCAATAAGGTCACCATTTTCGATTTATCATGGATCCAGGTGAACATCTTGTGTTACGAAAGTAGATCTTGTGCTCTACTTTTTTTCTTTTCTTTTTCAGCATATTGGTCATTCCTCCCATCAATTAAGGAGGATCCAAAGAAGGAAATATTAATACTTTTAACTGGCTTTGATGTCCAAAATTAAAAGACCCATCAGTGTTGCAATTTAAAAAAACAAAATTATCTCTAAAAGGTTTAGAATCTATTGCGAAAGGTAATGATACATAAATGCAAAATTTGATGTAAAACTGTGATTACGCAGGCAGAAAGCTGGTGGTGGGTAGCACTTATGCAATTGTGATATTTGCCCATTTTTTGATATTCTTTCCATGCGCTTGAACATTTTTCCATATATACTTTCACTAATTCACTGCAGCACTTATGATAATTTCTTAGTATCTTTGGGGGTCACTGTCTCAGCATGATGTGTTTCACTTAGCCATTTGCTATGGATAGTACATCGAGTGGAAAAAGGCCGATAGCCTTTGGGAGATTTCATTAAACTTGGGAGGGGGTTAAAATCTCTTTAAAATATTCAGTTTAAGTCCAACAGTAACTTCCTCTTCTTCTTGGGCCACCATGACAATCTTTACCAATCAGTGGGATATTTGCCTACTCTCTTACTATAGCTGAGATTGATCCTAAATCGTCTCCATAAGTAAGCGAACTCTAATCTCTCGCGCGCCTTAAATGTACAGTTTTTGAAATGATAGAAACATAAGACACGATAAGTATTGCACAAGTCCATCATAAATAAGTAGGCAGTCACAGCAAGTTTTAGTCTAGAGCCATTTGGAAACTTGCCTCACAATTAAAGGCCAAACCCTTTCTTGCCTCTGGTCTAAACTGATCACATTGCAGACTCCTGCAGCACCACCCTCCACATCTTGCCACAATAATCTCCCTCCACAACATGCTGCTGTACATCCTGAATGTACGCGCGATACTACCAATCACAAGGGATGATGTGTAAATTTGTTTGAAGGGCGGGATTTTCCTTGCTCACAGCTTTTCTTTCGCTTTTTTGTCACTAGTCTAGCTGTATGCCCCGTATAGGGTAATGAATTGATGGTAACTGTAAATAAATATATGTTTTGATACTAATGCACTTTATAATAGTTTTAAAAAGTATCTTACTCTAATAACTGAAATTATATTTGATAAGTTGTACATGATCAGTTATTTTCCGAGAATGGATGATGGGGTTTTTGAGATGATTTACCACTGGGTTTTAAAAAGCATTGAGAAATTTTGGAATGAAGGTGTTGAGAGAGTGGGGCTTAGGAATTCAGCAGACATAAGAACAGTTTTTGATCAGGGGAGTAGAGGGCGATTTTTAGGAATTTTAACTAGATAGTATAGCATAATAATCCTTAATTATTGTGAGTAGCATTCCATATTCATTGCAGGTGCCCTGAAAAACCCCGATCGTCTGTGTTTTTCATTTATTAGTCCACAGTGCCTATCTCGATTTTATTCACCGGGAGAAGGTTTTTAAATATTTTTTAAAGTCAGGCTTTGCAATTTGAAAAAATCAGCAATTTTTTTGTTGAACTGTTTGTTGAGGGGGGACTTGAAAAGTTACTGCAAAACATGTACAGAAAAATTTTAAAACTTTTTGTCAGCTTTGGGGCCCTTTGTTTTGCACACTCAAAATTTTTTTTTAAGATTTTTGCTAGGTGTTTTATTGAAAATAATTATTTGCTTGAGTCCTGAATGGGAAGGGTGTGTAGCTAGATTTGGCCCTAAGTTCATTTGTTTTCCAGAATCAGCCCCATGGCCTCTCAAGGAAATAAAACTTGGATAAAGGTTTTAAACATAATTTTTTTTTTTTCATTTAATGATATTTTGCTTTTTTTTTATTTTTAATGTACCTTTAATTTTTTTTTTTGCATAGTAAATACTACAGGAGATGTTGTTTGCAAGCCTAGGTGGTAATCTAGATGACTCTCTGGTGTCTTGGACAATGTGCTTGCTACACAAAGTGCTCAGGCTGGTGGTCCTCACAGCGGGTGTCTCCTTCAAACTCTGGAGGGCTCCCTTCATACCTAGGCTAGGGACTCAGACAAAAAATGTAAGTAGTTATTGTTACCAAACATATTTATTCATTAATTTTAAATAGTGCCTAGGTTATGTTGCTACAGACGTTCATGATTTAATTTTTCTTTGTTTAGTGACTTTAATTCACTGGCCATTCCCCACATTTGGTAGTGTGGCCGAAAGAGGGAAACACTTTACTGTCAATCAGGTCAATCTCTGTCTTTCCTGAAAGCATTGCTAAATCACAGTTCAGATGGCATTTGGACTGAAACCATCCCCACCCCAATGTACCTTCCCACATCCAAGCTAACAGTTTCCCTGAGTCACTTAATATGTATTACTTTACTCATATTTCAGCATCATTTTTTTTTTTTTTTTAACAAGTCGGCCGGTCTCCCTCCTAGGCAGGGTGACACAATAAAGAAAGAAAATCCCCAAAAAGAAAATACTTTCTCATCATTCAACACTATAACCTCAATCAATAATCACGGTTTTTGCAGAGGTGTCTCAGATACCCTCATCCATTACTCTTTTCTGTGTCACTTTCAACTTTCTTAACCTTTAACACAGAACCCCCTTTCCCAAAACTCATCCAACTAACTTTGCAATATTTCTTTAGAATTCCTCATAAGCACTGTATTCATCAGCAAAAAGTAACTTTGTCAATTTCCCATTTTGTTATTTGAATTCCCATACATTTAATCCCACCCCTCTCCCCGAACAACCTAGCATTTATTCTTTTACATAACTCCATCTATAAATATATTAAACAACCACGGTGACATTACACATCCCTGTCTAAGACCTACTTTTACCGGGAAGAATTCTCCCTCTCTTCTACACACCCTAACCTGAGCCTCACTATCCTCATAAAAGCTCTTTACAGCATTTAGTAACTTACCACCTATTCCATATCTTGCAAACATATGCTCCCCTATCTACTCTATCATATGCCTTTTCTAAATCAATAAATGCAATAAAAACTTCCCTACCTATATGCTTCAATGTAAACACTTGATCTACACATCCCCTACCCACTCTAAAACCTCCTTTCTCATCTGCAATCCTACATTCTGTCTTGTCCTCTAATTCTTTTCGTAAATAACCCTACTGTACTCTTTTTCCTGGGTATACTCAGTATACTTATTCCTCTATAATTTTTACAATCTCTTTTGTCCCCCTTCCCTTTATATAAAGGGACTATACATGCTCTCCACCGATCCCTAGGTACCTTCCCCTCTTTCATACATTATTAAACAAATACAACCACTCCAACTACTATTTAACCCCCTGCTTTTAAATTTTTCATGATCCCATCAGTTCAGTTTGCTTTACCCCCTTTCATGTATGTAATGTCCTCTCACGCAACCTCTCCCACCACTACATCCATCTCTTCTTCACTCTACAAGATGGTATACATCCCTGGGCCAGTGCATGAAAATTACTGGCCTCCCTTTCTTCATTAACATTTAAAAAGTTCCTCAAATTATTTTGTCCATCTTCCCAATACTCCATCTACCCTTATAACTAAGTCTCCTACTTGTTTTTTTATATGACATATCCCTTTGTTCCCTAGGCTGTCTTAACTTGTTTAACTTATCCAAATTTTTTTCTTATTTTTCATTAATAATTTCTTGACAGTGCCTCTCCCAGTCTTTATCTGCTCTCCTTTTGCACTCTCACCACTCTCTTCACCTTTCTTTTACTCTCATATACTCTCTCTTCGGTAACTCTTCTGCTTTGTAATAAACCTCTTCATAAGTACCTGTTTCTCTTTTATTCACACCCTCTACTTCATCATTCCACCAAATCACTCCTCTTTCCTCCTGCCCCCACCTCCTATAAACCACAAACTTCTGCCCCACATTCTAATACTGCATTTTTAAAACTAATGCCAACCCTCTTCAACCCTTCCCCACCCCATACTCATACTTGGCTACCAGCCACCTTTCTGCCAATGGTTGCTTATATTTTATCTTTATGATCAACACTGGGACGATTCCCACCAAGGCTGGGTGGCCCGAAAAAGAAACACTTTCACCATCTTTCTCTCCATCACTGTTCTTGCCAGAAGGGTGATTTACACTACAGTTTTTTTAAAACTGCACAACATAACACCCCCGTCAGAGTTGCAGGCACTGTACTTCCCATCTCAAGGACTCAACGGTCCGGCTCCCTGACGGGTTTTTCCCTGATCCCTTCATAAAATGGTTAACTTTGCTCACACTCCAAACAGTGTCAAGTTTTAAAAACCACATGTGTTCTCCATTCACTCTTATCATACACGCTCATTGCATGCATGCTGGAAATCCAAGCCCTCGCACACAAAACCTCCTTTACCCCCTCTCTCCAACCGTCCTAGGCGAACCCTACCCCGCCTTCCTTCCACTACAGACTCGATACACTCTTGAAGTCATTCTGTTTCGTCCATTCTTTTTACATGGCCGAACCAACCTCAACAACCTTCCTCAGCCCTCTGGACAAACAGGTTTGGTAATCCCACACACCATCCTAACTTCCAAAACTACGAAATTCTCTGCATTAATTCACGCCACTCATTGCCTCAGAATTTGACATCTCCACTGCCTTCCAGGCCTTCTCCTCGCTGCAACATTCATCACCCATGTTCACACCCATATGAAGGCGTTGGTTAAATCTATACTCTCATACATTCCCCTCTTTGCCGCCAAGGACAAAGTTCTTTGTCTCCACGACTCCTAAGTTTGCACCTCATCACTCTTCTTCCCTTTCAATTCTAGGTTTCATACCTCATCTTTAATAGGACTCATCTCTGACAACGTCCACTCCCAAATTTCTGAATACATTCACCTCCTCATTTACTCTCTCCCTTCCATATTGATTATTCAATCTTTCATCCCCTAATCTTTTTGTTATCACTCAGAACTCTTACTCTTTCCTGTTTTACCTTTAATTTTCTTCTTTTAGCACACCCTTCCAAATTCACTCCACCAATCTCTGCAACTTTCTCTTCAGAATCTCCCAGAGCACAGGTGTCATCAGACAAAGAGCAGCTGTGACAACTCCCACTTTGTGTGTGATTCTTTATCTTTTAACTCCAGGCTCTGTGCCAAGACACTCACATTTACTTCTCTTACAACCCATCTATAAATATATTAAACCAACCACGGTGACATCAACATCCTTGTCTAAAAGGGGGGGGGGGGGGGTGGGGGGGGCCTACTTTTAGGGAAATAAATTTCCCTCCTTTCCTACATACTCTAAACTTGAGCCTCACTATCCTCGTAAAAAACTCTTCACTGCTTTCAGTAAACTACTCCTTAACCAAACATTGTAACTTCTGCCAACATTGCCCCCTATCACCCTTGTCATGCGCCTTTTCCAAATCCATTAATGCTCTCCCTTATATCTCTTTGTCCTTCAATTTTGCAACTGTATCTAACCTCCTCCGTTTTTAATCAGTTCGGTTTTTAGTTTCTGGGTTTTTGGGGATCCTCTACGAATATATTATTCTTGGGAATTTGGAAGTAGCTCTTACTCTGTATGGAACACCAGAATGCCTTTAGATTTGAATATGGGAAAAAATAGATTTTCTTTTTTCTCAACTAATCAGGCCATTTCATCACTGAGGCAGTGTGGCGGTAAAAGAAAAAACGAAAGTTTTTTGTTTAAATTTGTTAATAATATTAGATCTTTCTGTCTTTCAACAACCTGCCGTATCCCACAAGGCCAGGGTGGCCAAAAAGAACAAGAAAGTTTCTCTCTTTAAATTAGTAATTTATACAGGAGGACGGGGTTCCTAGAACCCTTGCTCCCGGCATTTTTAGTTGGCCTCTTACATCACGCATGGCTTACGGAGGATAGAATTCTGTTCCACTTTCCTCTTTGGTGTAAGAGGAAAGAACAAGATCTAGAACTAGAAGAAAATAGAAGAAAACCCGAGGGTGTGTATATATATTTGCTTGCCATGTATGTGTAGTTGTGACCTAAATGTAAGTAGGAGTAGCAAGTGTACCTGTAATCTTGCATGTTTATTAGACAAAAAAAGACACCAGCATTCCCTACCATCATTGTAAAACAATTAAGGTTTCCGTTTTACACTCACTTGGCAGGGACTGTAGTACCTCCCTGGGTGGTTACTGTCTACACCTACTTTCCTACAATGTTAGATTTATTCTGTCTTTCAACACACCGGCGTATTCCCACCAAGGGCAAGGGTGGCCCAAAAGACAGAACGAAAGTTTCTATCTTTAATTTAGTCTAATTTATACAGGAGAAGGGGGGTACTAGCCACCTTAGCTCCCAGCATTTTAGTCTCCTCTTATGACAAGCCTGGCTTACGGAGGAAGTATTCTGTTCCACTTCTCTGGTGATAAGAGGAATAAACAAGAACAAGAACTAGAAAGATAATAGTAGAAAACCAGAGGGGTATGTATATTATTTGCTGGTATATGTATGTGTAGTGAGCCTCAATGTAAGTAGAAGTAGCAAGAACGTACTTAAAAATCTTGATGTTTATGAGAGAAAAATGGGACACCAGCAACATACCATCATGGAAAACAATTACAGGCTTTCGTTTTACGATCACCTTGGCAGGATGGTAGTACCTCCTGGGCGGTTGCTGTCTAACCAACTACTACCTTGGGAATATTAGATCTATAGGTCTAAATTAATATGTTGCTTAATTTAGCCTTTTACGGTATATAAAACATAGTTAGTGTCTCTATAGTTATATTGATTAAGGTTCTTACATTATTAGGTTGTTAATGTTTAATATTAGATCATGACTTTGTAAATAGGTTTTATTGTTGTATATTTGATTGTAATCTGTAACATACTTGCAGGTGATGGTTGTTCACTGTCAGTCGTTGTACAGCAGCAGGTCGATAGTCCTTCCACAAGTGATGCAGATAATCTAGTCTTGGTTCATCAACATGTCTCTTCTCCATACCTGTGTTCATTAACAGGTTGACTGACACATTACAAAGGTAGCTTAATGAAAGTAAAGAGAAGTTCGGATAGTGAAACACAAGGTTTCAATGTAATCCTTGATAGGAAGTGATATGGAATCTGTAGAAATAGATGATACTAGCAAAAAGCCAGTTGTACTGAAAGATAAAATAAGGGCAAAATAATTGTGAAATGGATAAATAAATACCCCCTGGGTCACTTCACCAGAAAGTTGGAAAAAGATGTTAATGCTAAATGGCCTTCCTGAGAGTACAAGTACAATTGTCAGTAACACTCAGTCAAAAACCTCTATAATTGCCTCGGCATTTGGTACTTTCTGATGATTTACCAGAACTTTTAGAGCACTATGAGAAGGCTCAGATAACTCAAGTGATGCAGACCCCTGAGAGAAATGTGAACGTAATAGAGCGTGAGCACACTGATGACCTGGGTATGTTGGAGGGAGGGTTTTGGGGGGGATGCTGCAGTAGTTTCAGGTAACACTAAGTCGAAAGCCATTTGATTGATTTGTTCACCTGTTAAAAAGGTGAATTGTAGGAAGAGTGTTGAGGTCATAAATAGTGATGCAAGACAGAAGCTTTTGAAAGACCTAAATGCTTCTAATACCCAAAAGGTAAAAATTGTGAACAGTGATACAAATATAAAGAATCCAGATGGTGAGGAACAGCTCTTCAGTACTAGAATTATAAAAGAAATAAGGAATCAGATCCAGGTTTTGATAACAGAGGTAATAAATAAAATGTAATTCATCCTCTAAATATTGGAATAATACACCACAAAAAAAAATCTCCACCACAACAAAATGAAAATGAGAGAAATAGATCAAGTACAAAAATTATAAATGAAAAGGCAGAGAAAAAAGTCAGTGAATTAAAGGAAAATTGTATGGCAAAAAATAAATGTACAGATAACGAACAGTTCATCTCAGAATTGAAAGCAGCACCTGAAAAATCTGGGCTGTCTATTACAGTACACACGTCCCACGGATCACTTTCATCACCTCTATTTAAAAAAATACCTAGCAATTATCCTGACTCAAATCATGCATGTACTCTCAGTGATTCAACTGAAAGTGTAACAGAAACATTACCAATGCCTTCAGAACCCTTACAGACTAAAAGCATTTTGAATAAATTTGCTTTACGTGAGAAAAAATATTCCGGGAAGTTTTCGTATCCTTCAAAATCAGAAGAAAGTTATGAGAAACTGAAAATGAAATACACAGAAACAATTGGGCTGATTGGAAGGACTAAAAACTCATTGTTAGAATCTGAAATACCAACTTCTAAAACAGTCAAATCTAATACAGGAAAGTCACCACTAAAACTTTTGACTGACATTCATAATATTGCTAATAAACAGCAGAATTTCCTTTCTCTTACAAGCCTTGAGAAAGATGCAAGATTTGAAACTAATGTTATTCCTTTATTAAACGAGAAGACGTATTCTCATTTAGGCAAGGAAAAAGAGAATTCATCAAGTTTTCTCATGAACCAAAGAAGGTGCTCTAACCAGGAATAGTTGAAAACAGCAAAGTAGTTTCAAGAATATTGTGCTGTTCCTCACTGGGTGCCAGGAATGCTGTAAGTAATAAATCTGTGCTTAAATTGGATCACTCATTTGAGGAACCATGTGAAAAATTCATAGAGGAAAGATTCACCATAAATACAGACCTTAACCCATTGAACATTCATGATAACTAACAAAAATCTCTGAAGATTTGACTTAAAATGTTTGATGTTAATCCAGAAGAAAGGGCGAAGAAAACTCGTACGCTCATTTCTGAGCTTCAGGTTGTGCCTCAGAGAGAGCTAACTAAAAGAGTGACGCTTCAACCTGTCTTCATCACCATAATGATGTGAATCTAAAGATGATCACCTGATAAAAGCAGGTTTTTATGCAGGTAGGGTCTAGTCAGATCATGGATGCAGCCTTAATGATGTTTACTTTTCAGAGTTAGACATAACACTCGTGTGTTCCTGTAATGGGTGACAGAGATACCAGGAAAAAAGACTGATAAAACAAAAACATCCTGTGAGCCAGCCTTCAAGTTATTGGTGCTACAGTAGCAAATGTACTGTAGAGAGTGGTGAGAGGCATGTAAATGATGGCTGGGTTAAAAAAATGTACTGTTTTTTATATGGCCCAAGTGAAAGCAAATGAAACTGAGCAAAGAAGCCATGGGAGCATGCAAAGGAGTTGTTGGAAGGAGTTCTTCATGTGATAAAATCATCCAAAGATGTTTTTAGAACCCCTAACAATGAATGTTATTCCTTGTGGACTCCCTTTGATAGAGTGGTATGCAAAATATGAGAATCATCGGTCATTGCTTTACAATACCATGAAAACACAAAAACTTTCCTGTAGTATGTGGCTTCATGACTGCTAGAGGTTCAAGGAGTGACAGTCACCCAGGCAGCCTTGGAGAAGCAAAGAATTTGTGGGAAAGAGGAAAATTGGGCTACAGTGTATAATGCAGGAGTTGTTGAAGTAATTTGTTACAGAATATTCCAATTGTTTAAACCAAACCTTAAGAAATGTTTCAGAAAGTTTTGTATGATGGCTGAAAAAGGGGATAGAGGTATTAAACAAGTTCAAAATGGAATCTTTCCCAAAAGTAGGTCTTTTGAAGTTTGCCCGGGACAAATCTAAAGAAAATTTAGATTCTAAAATATCAGATCAGTAAGAAAAAAATATCCATCACTTACCCCTTTAGTTAATAAAAATGAGCCTATTAGTGCACTTAATGAAAAATTAAGTAAGGGGTGAATTTCAAGGCTTTTCTACTGCTTCAGGATATAAAGTTAATATTAGCATGAGGCTTTAAAGAAGGCTCAGTTACTGTGGGAGGAAAATAATAGGGATGATGATCATGAAGAAAATCACTACTATAAACAGAGATAGGAATCCTAGACACAGAAGTAATCTAAAACGACTTATTGAAGTTAAAGAATGTGGAAAAATTTTTGTTGTACTAAGCCTACTGTCAGAATTGAGAAGCAAAATTTCAGTGTGGTCAGAAGGAAATTTAAATGTGAAAGGAGGAACTGGGAAAAGTGGGTATAATAGCACTTCACCCAAGTTCAAAAACAGTGAAGGTCAAGATACAAAATTTGGCAGTTGTTTTTAGAAGCTGAAAAATTTGGCTGTGTGTACTTGATCTAGTTGATGATGTTGTGTTAGAAAAAAGCATAAGAAGCAATATGAAGCCCAAATTAAAAAATGGAAAGTTCTCCGTGTCTCATTCAGATCAAGACTGGTTGCATGTATTTCACATGAAGCTATAACACAGATCATGTTTATGACTCTGATGAAAGGGCACCAACAAACAGAAGAGAAAAATTTACCCGTTTTAAAACAGCAGTGGAAGAGAAAATCAGTAAATGAAACAGCTCTTTTTAGAGCCAATAAACTTGGGATGAAAGTAACCGTAATGAAATAGGAGCTGGTAATGTTTCTCTCTATCCAGATGAGAAAACAGAATTAATTTTAAGCAGCAGAAATGAAACCTTGGGAAAGGAGGCAAACGTTTCTGCTAACCAAGCAGAGGAAAACACCCCAAAGTTTGAATAACACCAGTGCAGTTGGGAATGCCATGTCATCGCTAACAAAACAGATAAATAAACCACTTAATAACACTTGGGATGAACCTGAAAACCCTTTGGATTTTTTTAAACCAGAATGTACTAAATTAGCTCAATTCAGATCCATTATATGCAGTTCCAAGTTTTTCAACCGGGCCCAGGTAAGCAAGTTCTGTAAGCAAGGGAAACTCTTTGTAAAGCTAAACAAATTCTTAGTGAAGACTGCTAGCATCTGATGTGAGAGAAGTGAGTATTTTCACAAGGAATTTACCTGTAGTAAGAAATCCATAATGAAATTTGAAGGCTTTTCAACAGCTGGTGGTAACAAAATCCTGTTAGCCAAAGTGCTTTAATAAAGGGTCAGAAATTTCTGACAGAGGAGAATGTTGATGAAAAAGCAGATAAATATTGAGTCAGAATAGGAAACTCAAGTAATATATGTACATTAAAAATTACAGTGTACCATCAGCTGGCTATTAATTGTGGCATTTAGTCTTGGGTAATAAAAGTTTGTGTCCCAGCAATAGTGCGTTTAGGGAAACAGTAACTATTCCACCTCTCTTGGCTCCTTTAGTGAAAGAGAGAAATTCCGGGGGGGAACTGGGAAAGCAAATTATGAAGAAAATGTTTTAAGTGATACCACCCCAAGATCATACCTGGAAGCAAGTGTCGTAAACCATATTAGTTAATGAAACCAGGAAGACCAGACGAAAATAATGATTGCTTCTAAAGGAAACTAGACAAAATCTCTCGGGGAAGACAAAGTTAAGCTCATCTGCGGAAACACCTGACCTACCAACTGCTGATAGAAAATAAAATTAAAATGATTTTGGTTTTAAAGGGACACTCCCAACATCCTTGAAGGTGTTAAAAGAAAACATAACTGTAGTACAGAAAATGGTACAGAAGAAAGCAGTGATACACCATTTATTAATGCTGAAATGAATGGATCTTCATGTATAAATAAGAGCATTTCAAGAACTCCCGAGTCTTATGGAATAAGGAATAAATTTGTTGACACAGGAGAAACAAAAGATTACACACAAACAAGTTCCTCTACTACATTAGTTTCACAGAAACCAAACTGGAAAGATAGAACTAATTATGTTGATGATCAGTCAGTAGTTAATAAGAACACACCAGCTCAGCAACATTCTAAGTCTTCTATATCACCACCATTAAATAAAAGAATTAGAGTTGCAACCCATTGTGTTTTAAATGAAGACAGGAATTTCCAAGTCTCTGATGTGCATTCACACACTAATTCACAGATATCAAAAGAAAACTATAGTTTAGCATCAAGGTCTCGTTTACCATTAATGTCACAAGAGGTAGAAAACCATTCAAAAGGTAAAAATGATTTGGAAAGGATAAGAATAAATGCTCCTTCATCAGATTCACTGGAAATCACAGAGATCACTGAGGCTTTTTTGAAAGTTGGACTCTTTGGAACAAGAGGGAGCCTAGAGGGGCTGCTGGCATATCAGAAGGAAGTGGTCCCAAGAGGAAACGCTTAGTTTAGAGAAGGAGGAAGAGGATGCTCTAGAAGGTTTGGTACATTAAAAGGAAGCCGGTCGCAAGAATCAGCACAGAACTGAGAAGAGAGCAGCTATGTCACCATCTACAAAAGGCAGAAGATCTTGGCAGAAGTTGACCAGGTTGAAGGTGAAAGAGAGACACCTTATTTACAAGGTAACATCTGTGTCTTCATGAAATTTATGACTTGTTCAGTACAGTATATTGTATGATGATAGTGAGAACATTAATATTAATTATTTCAAAATTTAACTTGCTCATCATTGCTGTACGACAATATTCTATTATTACTAACATTTATACGTACATTGGTTTTCTCAGTCTCGGTACATGATGAGAATATGTAATATTTAGATGCATTGTGCTTCTTTTGGATTTGGCTTATAAAGTAATGATCATTTTGTAAAAGAAGCAGGATATAATTTATTCTTGCAAGAACTCCATGAAAATGTATAGATACAAAATTAATATCTTTTATATATGTTAAATAATAATAATTAAGTTTAGGTCAACTGGATATATTTTTGGTCCTCATTGGCCATTTCCCATTGAGGAAGGGTGATTCTATTCCCCCCTACCTAAAAAAAAAAAAAGATTTTTTCACTATCATTCATTCAATATCGGTCTTGCCAACTACATGCTGACTTCATATTTTTTTTTTTTTATAAAAAAAAATCAAAAATTTGTCCCTCCTGAACTGTGACATCCCTGCACCCTTTCCCACACCAGCATGCTGGTGTGGGAAGCTGTGGTCACATTGGGGCTATGTTTAGCTTCCCTGTGCTGTATATAAATATATACTAGATAAATTTTATTTTTTTACAAAGGCAACTGGCGAGTGTGGTTAACACACTGGTCCGTTAGTGTGGGCAATTGTACAGTTCATGTTTTGTCTCTTTTTGATAGGTAATGAGGAAGTTGAAGGCTGAAAGAGAAATTTTTAAGCTGAAACATATTTAAAACTGATTCGCTGCAAAGATAAAGCTCTTGTGCAGGCCTGTTGAGGGCTCTCTGCATAAACTGAGGATGTGGAGCAATAAAGAGAGATAAAGCCTAAAATCACTTGGTTCCTTTAAAGGTAAGTGTTTGATTTACCATGGATAGATGGGAAAATCCTATTTTCTAAATTATTCATTGTAAGTGAAATCTTTTTTTGAGATCCTGCAGAGACAAAAACAAATGTGGTTGATTCCACAGGTCTACTTCCCTAATTGTTTTTCTTAAACTCAATGGCTTTCTCCCCACCAAGGCAGGGTGACCCAAAGAAGAAAACACTTCACCTTCATTTTTCTATCAGTATCTTTCCAGAAGTGTGCTGCAATTCACAATCAAATTATCTTCTACATGCACATCCCCACTCCTATTTTTCAGATTTCAGGCATTGCCCTTACTTCCTCAGGACTTCAGTTGGCAAATTGGTTTCCGAATCCTACTTCAAAGGTTACCTGGCTTACAATCCTACAGCACAATTCATTAAAAAACCTTCTCTCCACACAAGCCTAATAGGGTGCACAAGCCCATGATCTCAAAACCTCTTTACCCCCCCCCCCCTTTCCTTGGTTTTTTTTTGTTTTTTTTTTAACCAAAGTCAGCTGTCTCCCACCGCGTCAAGGGGATCCAAAAAAGAAAGGAAGGAAATCCCCAAAAAGAAAAATATTTCATCATTCAACACTTTCACTCACACATAATCACTGTTTTTTGCAAGAGTGTGCTCAGAAACAACTATTATGTGTATGAATTTCTGGTCAGCCCTTTCAAATTACACTGAGCCCTTCAATATTTATTGTTGCTTCCCCCTCCACTCTGCTGTGTGGGTAAGTGAGGGTTAAGTTACCATTTTGTACTGTACTAGCACATGTCGAGTAGACACTAGGCCTGTTTTATATGCAGAATTTTTTGTGTGTCCGTGTTGTGTGTCCGTGGTGTGTCCGTGTTAGTCATTCTATAATTAAAGTTTGTCAAGTCAACCTTGATGTGTGTGTGTGGCGGGGGGGAGGGGTTGTTGTGTTGTGGTTGTGTGTTGTGTGTTGTGTTCTGTGTGGTGTGTTGTGTGTGTGTGTGCATGTGTGTGAGTGTGTGATGTGCATGTGTGTGTGTGTGTGCATGTGTGTGTTAGTTACCATTATGTCTTAGGCACATGTCGATTAGACATTAGGCCTGTTGTATGTAGTTTGCTCAGGTCAATCTTAATTTATTTGTGTGTGATGTGTGTGTGTGTGTGTGGTGTGTGTGTCTGCGTATGCGTATGCAGGCATCCATTAGGAATTGTACATCTAGTAAATAAAATGGAATCAAGACTGGGTAAATAAAGATGTGCTTCCTGGCTGGTGTTACGGTTTAGGGGAATACACAATGAGATAGAATGCACGTGCTGGGCTATGTTATTGGAGATATGAAGATATAGGAAGAACATGATTACAAATAGGATTGAATGAAAAATCAAAAGAGAGAATAGCTGTAGAATTCCAAAAGCCCAAATGAGAACAGGGAATATCAGAAGCATTTCTTAACTAAGAGTGGATAGAGTAGAAATGATATGACACAAAACCATGACATCAGGGAAGTGGTGGTCACTATAGATAAGCATCAAAGAATAGATAATTCAAACATAGTCTTTCATGTTAATCAGTCAAGAGCAGGTGGTCAGACCCCCACAAAATCAAATGGGTAATTACACACCATTTTCTAATACTCTCCAATACTTTCATATTATCCTTCTAACATTCTTTGCATGGAATGAGGATCAAATTGTTGGAAGGCCAGGTGCCCGTCGAGGCAGTTGCCTTATGCAGTCCTTGTAAATTAATTTCTGACAATTTTTATCTTAAAATAAAAGGGTTTTTATTTTTTTTTTTTATATAGGACATTGGGCAATGGTTACTGAATAAGAGGGATACCTGTAATGATCGGAAATATTTCTGGTATATTATTTCAATGATGAGATTATTCTTTTTGCTTGTCAGGGTATTCCGTGGATGGCGCAAGTAGCTGCAAAAACGCCTTGACATTACAGTTTCAGGAGAGAGTGGGGAAAAAATAAAAAAACATTAATAGGTATGTCTTTCTTGTCTGTATGTTAAACAGTTGTAGCTGATAAAGATACACAAGAATAGAAAATTTTATTTTTAATTGGACATTAGCATTTCCATACCATTTACTTGATTGTTGTTGCTGTTGTTGTTGTTGTTGTTGTTGTTGTGTTGTTGTTGTTGTTGTTGTTGGTTGTTGTTGTTGTTGTTGTTGTTGTTGTTGTTGTTGTTGTTGTTGTTGTTGTTGTTGTTGTTGTTGTTGTTGTTGTTGTTGTTGTTGTTGTTGTTGTTGTTGTTGTTGGTTGTTGTTGTGGTTGTTGTTGTTGTTGTTGTTGTTTTGTTGTTGTTGTTGTTGTTGTTGTTGTTGTTGTTGTTGTTGTTGTTGTTGTTGTTGATTGTTGTTGTTGTTGTTGTTGTTGTTGTGTTGTTGTTGTTCGTTGTTGTTGTTGTTATAAAATGGGTGCTAAACCTACAAGGGTCAACAGCACACTTTTTACTCTAGTTCTTCTTGGAAAGAAATCTTTGGCATGAAACAGTGAGTTCGCACTGACGTTGGGTGTATCCAGTCAGTTTGAGTTAATATGTAATGGAAAACCTAAGTTCAAATGACCCAATATGAATTTCCTGTCTTTCTAAAGTTTTTTAGTAATAACTTATTAAAACTTGTGGTTTAGTCACTTTTTTCAAACTTTTTTTTTTTTTTTATACTATACAGTATTTCTGTTTGGCTGCTTTTTTTGTTTTTTTATTTTTTTTTTGTTTTGTAAATACATAAAGGCAATCTATCTGGAGTTTTAATTTATTTAAGATCAGCCCGGGTGGGGGTTAAAATTTACAGTATTTCAGTAGATTTTGGGACAGATTCTTTGTACAGCTACCCCTCCACTTTGCGAGTTCCACTTTTGCAAGCTTTGAACATTCGCGAAACCCAGCCGCCCAATCATATATACCCAACAAACAAATGTGGGAATTAGTACTGGAAATCGCTCTTTCGCTGTGTCTCTACTACCTCCCTCTTACCCCCCTCAAACGGCAGGCCTGCCAGTCCACCACTATCAGTCATTGTCCAGTTACTGTTCTCTTTGGTCGTGTCAGTTACTGTTCGTGTCCTACTGCACATGTGTTTTGTGGGGTGGTACAAGTATGGCCGAAGGCAAGCAAGAAACCACTATTGATGAGAAACCCCTAAGTGCTCAAAAGAAAGTCATGAATCTGGAGGAGAAATTGCTAGACAAGTGTAGGGCAGGGTTTATTTTGAGCATTTCTGCCATTGGAAAATTATTTAATGTTAACGAATGCACAGTGCGCTCTATCAAGAAAAATGAGGCTAAGATAAGGGAGGCACTAGCATCTGACTGCTCCTCCCTCAGCCAAGCAAGTGTCACAAGTTAAGAAACAATGCGGTTGTCTAAGATGGAAAAAACTTGGGCCAAGCGATGGAGAATGGACAGCACAGATCACCAATTTTTTTTATGACATAGACCCTCGGATTGTTGAGGGCTTAGAAGGTGAGGAGTGACATTGATATGAGCATTAATTCCCTACAAAACTCTGTTTGTAGATAGGAAAGAGTAAATGATCTCAGTTGGCCATCACAATGTTCTTCACAAGGAAGCCTGCTACTACCCCTGCCACTATCCCTCTGCCTCACCTGAATCTCAAGCCCCCGGGCGCTGGATCTGACTTATTGCCAACTGTGGATAGCAATGTCAGCAGTGATGCTGGCAGTGAAGAGTTAGAATCCACTCACTTGACTCATCATGCCATGAGTTTACTCCCTATAATTTACCCCCCCCCCCCCCACCTCATTCAACTGTCATTTAACTGCATGGCTAAACTATCATCACCATCATCATCGTCATTGGTCATAATCATCACAAGTCATCAGAGTTCGTCTGCCTAACCTTACGGCAGTGGTGAGTGTTTTGTTTGTTTATTCCGTATTGTTATT